GTTATTATTTTGTTTTGTTTTCCGATTTCAAGCAGTCAGACTCAGCAGGGATTACTCATTCCAAAGAAAGTACGTTTTTCTATTTTGGTCCAATAGTGGTTTGGATTTCCTCAGAATGAGAGGCCTCTTCCGGCTTCCTTTGAAAGATGGTTCTTGTTACATACAGAGAGCCAGAAGGGATTTCGGGCCATCAGATCCCAAAGCCCTCCAGCAAGGCAGGGAGCCTCAATTCTGGTTATTCGTAACAACAAGGACTCCTTTTATGATGAAGATGCTTAGGAGCTTCCAAAGGTTTTCAGATCTAGTACAGAATTGGAAACTTTGAGAGCTGGACAGGGTCAACAGTGCTGTCCTGATCAGATGGGTGGCCAACCATGAACTGCTTCCAGCAGGAAATCACTTGACAGTGTGTGAAGGATATCACTACCCTATTAGAACCTCTACAGCTCCATTGCATTTAAGATGAAATCCACCACCTTACCATGGCCTACAAGGCCCTGCATCAACCCGTCTCTGGCCATTGTCCCTCTTCTTCATACACCCAGCCACACTGACTTTGTCCCTGTTCCTTGTCAAGGCCAAACTTGCCCTACCCTGGAGCATTTGCACTTCTTGGTCCTTCACAGGGAGGCTGCTCCCGCTTCTCTACAAATGCCTAGCTCAGTGCAAATGTCACAGGCTCAGAAAATCCTTCCCTAAGTATCTTAAACAAAGTGCTAGCCCAGTCACTCTCAAGGACTTTACCCTGTTGGCTTTCCCCAAAGCAATTATCTGTAGCTGGAATTATCAGGCTCATTTCATCTACCTCTAGTACAGCAGGTCCTTGCCTATCTTGCTCGTTGCTGCATCCCAGAGTAGACCCAGTGCCTGACACATACACAGTAGGTACTCAATACACGTTTGTTGAATGAATAAATGAATTTTATATCCTTTCTTTAAAAAAATCTGAGCCTTATCCACACACTTTACAACAGACATTGTCTCTTTACAAGAGACAGTCTCTTTAAAACAGTCTCTTTACAAGGATAACGTTACTGTTATGCTTATTTTGTAGCCAAGGAAATGGACTTCAAGATGGGTGCTGATTCTCCCAGTGCCACTTACCTAGTCATTTACTGCAGCATAACAAACCACTCAAGCTAGCTTTACACCACTTTAAACCACTCCAGCAGCTTTAAACAGTGGTTCTTGTGCTGGCCCCCCCGAGCTTATTCATGTGGCTGCATTCAGCTAGTGGGTCTGCTGCGAGGGCTGTGACTGCTGGGCACTTCTCTCCATACGGTCTTTCATCCTAGATAGCTTCACAGCGTGGTGGTCTTGGGTATTGTTCTGAGAAGGGGAAAGGCCAGGCTGCCACGTCTCTTAAGGCCTAACCTCAGAAGCCACACTGCATCACTTCTACTGGGTTCTATGGGTTGGAGCAAGTCTCAAGGTCAGTCCGAAGTTCAAGGAGCAATGAAATACACTCCACCTCTCCATAGGAGGTGCTGTTCCATTGCAAAGAAGCCTGGGCTGAATTGCCAGGTTCGTTTTTGAAAATCCATCACAGCTAGTGAGTGCTGGAACCAGCCTGGGTAAGCCTGTGACTCACTAAGGCAGACCAAGGGACCGTGACTATCCAGCAATATCAGATGACTCTAGAAACTGCAGTGGCCTACAACATGTAATGTAAGTATCTCTCACTGACACCACATGTCCACTGGGGGCCAGCTGGGCCTCTGCGGGTTCACTCTGGGACCCAGGTGATGGAGCAGCCTCTCCCTGGCACAACACCTGAATGGTGCCAGTCCTGTGGCAGACGGGAAAGGAACATGGCAGGCACTCTCGGCCCTAAAGCCTCTGCTCAGAAGAAATACACATCATTTCTACCAGCACATGAGTAGCTACACAAGTCCCAGGCACATCAACCTCTTTCCGGGAGCAGCACTGAAGATGCATGGATGGTGATTCCACCACCCTGGAGCCCGTTTTCCTCTTCAGCTCCTTTAAAAACACATTCTTTGCTGAGTGGAAATGCATCTCATTCTATTTCTACCATTAGCCTCAGTGCTGCCGTCTCATCTGTTCCCTCTGCACAGAGGTCCTTCATAGAGACGAAGGTCACTGGAGCCTTCTCTACTCCAGGACGCACATCCCAGCCTTTTCAGCTCTCCCCTGCTTAAAGACCTGCCATAACCCCCTTATTGATAACTGGATCAAGTCCAAACTGCCATCCGAGTCCTCCAGGCCTCCCTCGATCAGGTTCCCACTGGCCTCTCCAGCCTTGTCTCCTGGTTCTGTCTGTGCTCCCCACACCTTGGCTTGCAGCTGTGCTGAACCTCACGCCTCAGTTCCTTTCTCTGTGCCGTCACCTCAACCTGCACAGCCCTTCCCCTCTTCTCCAGTTTGTGAAATGTTGCTTTTCTTTTAGGATTGGCCTGTAAAGTAATCTTTTTGAAGATAATCCTCTTTTTCCTTTGTCAGGGTCAATCAACTTTTTCATTTTCTAAACCTCTTTGTTATAGCATTTTTTTTCATTCACTCATTCAGTGAATGTTTATTGAGTATCTACTGTGTACCAGGTACTGTTCTAGGCTCTGCAGAGACACAGGGAACAACACAGATAAGGTTGCAATCCTTCCCCTGTTGTATGCCGGTGAGATAAAGCAGGCAATACGCATATAAGCAAATGAAAAACAAAATAGGCCAGGCATGGTGGCTCACGCCTGTAATCCCAGCACTTTGGGAGGCTGAGGCAGGTGGATCACAAGGTTAGGAATTCTAGACCAACCTGGTCAATATGGTGAAACCCCATATCTACTAAAAATACAAAAATTAGCTGGGCGTGGTGGTGAGCGCCTGTAGTCCCAGCTACTCAGGAAGCTGAGGCAGGAGAATCGCTTGAACCTGGGAAGCAGAGGTTGCAGTGAACTGAGATCACAGCACTGTACACCAGCCTGGCAACAGAGCAAGACTCCATCTCAAAAAAAAAAAAAAAAAAAAAAAGGAAAAAAGAAAAACAAATTAATTTTAGGCAGTGATAAATATGTTAATTACAATAAAAGGGTCTGCTGTGAAAAACACTATAGGCAAGAAGGTGACTCCTTTAGATAAGTGGTTAGGGGTGGGCTCACTGAGGAGGGGATGCTCGAGCAGCTACAGGAACAGAGGGGAGCTTTCCCGGCAGAAAAAACAACCTGTGCAAATGGCCTGTGGTATGGTCTGCTTGGCCTAGTCCAGGAAGGGGAAAGAAGCCACTGTGGTTGAGGTGCAGAGAGAGAGGTAGAGAGTGGTGAGAGATGAGATCTGAGAGGCGGCTCTAGCAAACCACATAGGGTGAGGCTTCTTAGCAGTGACAAGAAACTTGGATTTTACTTGAACTATAGCAAGAAGTCACGGGAGGTCTGGAAGCAGGGAAGTAGACAGGCACGATCTGATTTACACTTTTCAGAGATTATCTGAGCTGCTTTGTGAATGGCAGGTGAGCAAGAGAGGCGTCCAGAAGACCAGTTTGGAGGCTCTTGTCATTCCAAGATGACAATGACTTGGATGCATAGTGCAGCAATAGCCTCCCCAGAAGCTGTGAACTGAGACCTAGGGGACCATGGCCCCTCGTCCTCTGCCTCACAGCCCCTGGCACAGGGCTGGTCCGTGGTGACAGAATGGCTTGAGGTGGTGCATCAATCAGCAGTGGCATGTGTCTGAAATGCATGCTAGCTGAACCCTCCTCGCTTTCACCATCCTTTGCCAAGCTTCCACGGAAATCCCCCTCCACACACCAGGCTCCCCAAGCAAACCCGGTCAGCCCAGCTGACCGCCTGCCTCCCCGGCACTGGGCTGCTGTCCAGGCCTGGCGAAAATCTCTCACCATCCTGCCCACCCAGGCTCCCTCCACGGAGATCTGTGTGGTTAGCACAGTGGCCTTGATATCTTGATATTCAGGGGACGGGTTTTCCCATCTGAGCCTTCGTTTTCTCATCTGGAAGGCGGGCATTATTCTCCTTATCCCAAAACCCCTTTTCCCAAAGTCCACTTCCTTACTTCTCTCTCTCTTCATCCCTTCCTTCAACCAAAACAAAGCCACTCTAGGGTTTTTGAAGTTTCCTGATTTTTTTTTTTTTTGGTAATTAATAACCCTTGAACTAATTAATTTCTGCATTTGTGTTTCTAGATTTCAGATTCCAGAATTATTCAAGCTTTTCCTCAAAACTAGTTATTTCCCCCTTCTAGCCTGACTCTAGCTGGGCCCTGGGCGCCCAACGTGAGGGCTGCCACCTGACCCCCTGGGTCCAGCGCCCACCCGGGGCAGGTCTCCAGCTGTGGCCACTCAGCCAGTATCTGCGCAGGTGAACCATGGGGCTCAGGAATAGGCGGTTGTCCGGTCAAGGGCGGGCTCGCAATCAGCGGGGCGGGGAGAGGGAAAGAGCCAGGGAGAAAAGGGAGAGAAAGAGGGGGCAGTGTGTCAGAAAGGAAGAGGAAGGGGCAAGTGTCAGAGTTGGCGAGATGAGGAGGGAGGGTGAAGGAGAACGGAAAATAGAAAGTGGGTGAGACCGTGGGAGAGGGAGACTGGGGGAGAAAATGTGGGTGTGTGCGCGCTGAGAGAGAGAGAGAGAGAGAGAGAGAGAGAGAGAGAGAGAGAGAGACTTAGAGAGGGAAGGAAGGGAAGGAGCGTTGAGAGCAAGGAGGAGCGAGTTGGGGGCGGAGACGAGGAAGTGGGTGCGAGGCGCGGGGCGCAGGCCGTGCGCGCGCCGCCCGCTCCATCCCTGCCCGGAGCGCAGCCGGCGCGGGCGCGGGACCGAGGCGAACCGGGTGCGGAGCCAACGCCCGCGGCAGCAGCACCAGGTAACGCGGCCGCCGCCTCCCCGCGGGGCCTCGGCGCGGGGTGGGGTCCCGGGCGGGCTTGGGGACCCGTCGTGGGCTGGCGGAGCCGCCTGAGGGGCTGCTCCGGGATCCCCGGCGGCGGTCGTGGCCCCGGACCTGGGTTCGAGACCCGGCCCCACCGCTCCCTGGCTGTGCCTGACCTTGGGCAGGTGCCTCCGCTTGGCCTGTGAGCCTCAGTTTCCTTCTCTGTGACCGCCGGGGTTGTGCCTTCCCCAAGGGGGCGTTGAGAGCTCGGGATGCAGTCCCAGTCCGCGGCGGTGCTCGGGACGCGGTTCGGCTTTATGTCCTCTTTGCCCGCGAGGGGTGGATTTGGAAAGTCCACTTGCGCCGAAACAGTCCCCGTTTTGTCCCTGGGTCTGGGTGGTGGCATTTTCTCGCGGCGATGTGTCTGTCGGAGCATGGAGCAACTTTCTGCTAAAGGGAAGCCAGCGGAGGGCGAGGGCTGGTGGGGAGGGGGCTTCTATGTCTCAGGGAACGAGAACGACCTGCCTTCATCCCGCTGGGCTGCGGCTTGCTGCCCGACGCCCGTTGACTGGAGCCACGACAGGCAGCGCTCAGCGGGTGGGAGTCCTTGCTGGGGACATCTGGACGTGGATTCGCCTGTGGGATGAGCGGAGCAAGCGGCCTCTTTTGATAGGAATCCCAGTTTGCGCATTGACCTTGAGCTTGACAGCCTCAGTTTCCCCCTGAGGGCCATGCTAATCCCCCCACCCCGTCCATGAGGTGTTGTGAGGTGAACGAGGTGGGGCAGGAAAGTGCCTGTGTGCTGTGGTGGCCCCCAGTGGCAGCTGTCATGCCCTAGCTCAGGTGGGCCCAGTCCTGGAGGTGGTTGCCTCTTGAGAAGTCATTTCTACGTTCTAGGTCCCCTTTGTGTCCTTTGCCAGAGAGGGTAAGTCGGTGAAGCTGGGTGGTGACCAGGCTGGACTTGAAGCAGGGCAGGGCCTAGGGAATGTGGGGGGCCCAGAAGCTTCAGCCTCCACTCCAGACCTATCCTGAGGCTGATGCTCCTCTAGACATGACGTCTCTCAGATGGCAGTTTTTGTCTTGTGAAGACTCCTGGCATAATCTCTCAGCACCTCAGTTTCCTTATTTATAAAAGGAAGTTATAAATTCCTCCCTACTAATGAGTTTCCTGTCCCTGGAGGTTATCCAAGGCAATTGGATAGATTACATTTTTTGACATCTCTGGGTCTGGATGGTGGCATTTTCTCCTTATATCTGAGCTGGGATATAAGGAGAATTCAATATCATGAGAAAATAACTTATCTCGAGAACCTGCTCCTTGCAGGCCGGGTACTTGGTGCATTACAAGTATGGCATTGGTTAGAGTCACCACAGCAATCCTGGGAAACTGGTGCCATCAAATCCCAATTTACAGATGAGGAAACTGAGGTTCTCAGAGGTAAATGATTGCCATGTGGTCACACCGGTAGGAAATGCCTGTGCAGAGACTGGAACCAGGTCTGCCCGCCTCCAGGGTGCTTCTGGTTGTATCGTGCTGGCCCCAAAATATGACTGTATAAGTTGTGGCATAGCACAGGGCCTGGCACATGGCACGTGCGCAATCAGCACTGGCTTCTTGTTCCATGTGTCATAGGAAGGGCTGCTACAAAGCACTGGAGAACGTGAGCCTGAAGGCTGGCAGCAGGGTTGGGGTACTCTTTCCAAGAGATTTCTCTCAGGGTCTGGAAGGAAGGAAGGTCACTACTCAGTACTACATAGGATGCTGATATCAGACTGACTCACCCCAGTCCACCAATTTCTTTGCTTCCTCCATCACCTTGTCCGGGTTAACCTTGTCTTTATTTATCTCAGTCTAGGCTAATTCTCCTGAGCTCACAGGCACATCCCACTCTCCATTCTAGGCTGATGATTAACTACTGACCCTCCCAGGCGACATTCCATGGGAAAAACAAGACCAGCTGTGGTCCATCTCCGCCAACACCCCATAGTAAGGGAAACAGGATTAAGTTCCAATCCCAAAGATTTAATTCAGACTTGAGGAAGAAATCCCTGATGATGGGGAAAAGGGTGTCCCAGCAGGCTAGAGAGGTTCCTTTGCCAAAAAATGTTTTAAAGAAGAGGAGTACATCCAAATGAAAGGATGGAGATGTGCACAAAGCCTCTTTCATGTGCAGAGATATTCATCAACAATCAGAAAGTGCCTAAATGTCCAACAGTAGGGAATCAATAAAATTATGGGACGCACATGTGACCACCAAAAGTTGAGAGTTTTTAGTGAATGGAAACATGTTTTGCATCGGCATGCAAATGGCAGGGTCCCAAAAATGTGGCAAGAGCTTAGAAAAAAGACTGGAAGGAAATAGGCTAAAGAGTGTTAACAGTGTTTGCCCATGGATGGTGGGGTTGTGGGAGATGTGTTCCCTGACTACTTTTTCTTGACTTTCCAGATTTTATGCAATGAGCATGTTCTTTAATAATTAGTGGACTACCTGGCTTCGAGTTCTGAGAGCAGGGAGGAGGGTGCCTGATTGAAAAAAAGGTAACTTATGGTTCAGTAAGGGTGCACTGTATCTGAGGGTGCCCTGTCTCAGGCCTACAATAAAGACTGAATTGTCTCTAAAAGGGTTCAAGTAGTGTTTTCCAGGTTGAAATTTTCACCATCTTCTTGTCTCCTATCTTGTCCCCTCCAATTCTGATACATCCTTTATCCTATTGTCAATTTGGTAATACAGAGCTGAGGCTACTGCTCCCCTGCTCAGAAATATTCCAAGACTCCTCATTACCAAATGGATCAAGACCAAAGTCCTCAGACTGGCATACATGGCTCATGATGGTCTAGTCTCTGGCCAGCCTTCTCGCCTCCAGCTACCCCACCCACCCACCCTCTGCTGGTCCACCTACAACAATCCACATCCAGCTGGCAGAATGAACTGTGTTCTTGCCCACCTCCAAACTTCCCAGTTGGAATTTCTCTTGCCTGCAATGCCCTCCTTTGCTTAGCAACCCCATCCTACTCTTCCTGCAAGATTCCATTCAAACCAGATCTTTTAGGACCCCACAGTTTACAGGTATGCTCCTCCCCCAGGACTCCTTAAAGATGGGGACGATGTAACCTGTCTTCTCCTTGCCAGCACCCAGGATGCAGCTGGCACATGAAGGCTTGTCAGTAATAGGGGCAATTATATCAAGGCCTGGCAGACCCCTTAGAAGAAATACAAAATTATTGATATCAATATCTGTTATTTGTTGTATTCTTACTATGTTCTCATGACAACCCTATGGGTCTCACTTTCAGACTGGAAAGTAAGAGTAACATGCGTTCAGCCACTTGCCCAATGTCTAACAGAATTCGAACGCTGGCCATCTAAATCCACAGCCTACACTCCTAATCAGGGTCAGGAAGGGTTGACAGATTCAATCAACCAACATTTAAGCAGGGATCACAGAGATGCTGTAAAAAGCAATGCATCCCTGCACTGTAGAGGTGAAAAAATGGCACAACAATGACCTCCAAAGTGTAAGGGTTTGTGCCAAATACTGGGAACCCAGGCATATATAAGATGTCATTGCAGGCTGGACACAGTGGCTGACACCTGTAATCCCAGCACTTTGGGAGGTCAAGGCAGGAGGATCACAAGTTCGGGAGTTCAAGACCAGCCTGGCTAACATGGTGAAACCCCGTCTGTAATAAAAATACACAAAAATTAGCCGGGCGTGGTGGCAGGTGCTTGCAGTCCCAGCTACTTGGGTGGCTGAGGCAGGATAATCGCTTGAACTCGGGAGGCAGAGGTTGCAGTGAGCCAAGATTGTGCCACTGTACTCCAGTCTGGGAGACAGAGTGAGACTCTGTCTCAAAAAAAAAAAAAAAAAAAAAAAAAAAAAAAAAAAAAAAGCCATTGCTACACGGAGCTTACAGACAGTGGGGTGTGGGGAGAGTGGTGTGTAAGCAGGTCCTCAGGGCTTTGACAGGGGTGTTGAGGAAACTGTGAGGCCTCAGGGGATGCAGGTGAAGGCTGCCCAGAGGGGATGATATTTGAAATAGATCAGGAAGAATAAGTAGGAATTCACCAGGTGAGCCAGGGAGGTTGGAACGATGGTTCTCAAGTGGGGACGTTTTTGCCCCTTGGAAGACATTCGTCAACGTCTGGAGCTATTTTTGATTGTCACAACTTGGGGAGGGGGAGTGCTGGTGTCTAGTGGGTAGATGCCAGAGATGCTACTAAACTTCCCACAATACACGGGACAGCCCTCATCACCAAAAATTATCCTGTCCCAAATGTCAATAGTGCGGAGGTTAAGAAACCCTGGGTTGGAAGAGAAGAGCATTCCTGACCAGAGATCAGCTGGTTCAGGTACCCACAGGTGTTTACCAAGTGCCTTCAAAGCACTGGTCCTTTGAGCCTGAGGTTGCTCTATTGGTCACCTGGCCTCCCTGCTTCCCTTCTGCCCCCACTGACCTCAAGCAACAAGGGTGGTCTTTTTTAACATAAGAGCATTATAGAGATATAATTCATATACTATAAAAGTCACCAATTCAAGTGACAAGTCCATAATTTTTAGGATATTCACACAGAGTTGTGCAGCCATCACCACTACCTGATTTCAGACCACTTTCGCTATCTCCAAAAGAAACCTGTCCTCATTAGCAGTCACCCTCTATCCACTCCCCACTCCCACTCAAGGCTCAGCAGCCACAGGTCTACTTTCCCTCTCTGTAGATTCGCCTATTCCAGATTCTGGACATTTCACAAAAATTGAATCACACAATAGGTTTTGTGACCGATTTCTTACACCTGGCATGTTGTTACGGTTCATCCATGTTGTTGCATGTATCGGCACTTCATGCCTTGTTATGGCTAAATAATGTTCCACGGTATGGATAGACCACATTTTCCTCATTCACCAGTTGATGGGCATTTGGATTGTTTCTGCTTTTGGGCTATAATGAATAACGTTGCTGTGAACATTTGCATAGAGGCTTTTGGGGAGACATATATTTTCATTTTTCTGGAATATATGCCTAAGAGTACAATGGCTAGGTCACACGGTGATGAAGCTTTGACTTGACGTGTGTTTGAGGAATTGCCAAACTGTTTCCAAAGAGGTTGCACCCTCTTACATTCCCACCAGCAGTGCGTGGAGCTCCCAGTCCTTTCCAAAGCTTCTCAGGTCTTTTGGATTCTAGCCATCCTTGTGGGTGCGAAGTGGTATCATTCTGGTTTTGGTTTACATTTCCCTGAGGGCCAATGAATTTGAGCATCCTTCGGTGTGCTTGTTGGCCATTTGTGTATCTTCTTTGAAAAACTGTCTATTCAGATCAGAGTCACCTTTTAAACTTCATTGAGTCATTCCTTACTTGGACTGAAAGGCAATCTCCATAGAAGTCTATCAGGTGCCCTCCATCAGGCCCTGCCCGTGCCCTGTCTGCCTTTCTCCTCACTCAGCTCTGGCCAAAGCCTCAAAAGGGCCAGCTCATTCCCCACCGGCCCTTTGTACTCGCCAGTTCCTCTGCCCAGCTTGCCCTTTGCACAGCTGCTCAAGGATCAGCCTCAGAGAGGCCCTCCTTGTCCTCCCAGTCTCAAGGACACTTCTTCAGCCCCCCTCTAGCACACTTCAAGTTTCCTTTGATCGTATTTTCCTGGTTGATAAGATCTTGAAGAACTCCAGGTGTGACTACACCTTTGACTCACTGTGTGACCCTGGGCAAACCACCTCCCCACTCTGAGCCTCAGCTGCCCCATTTGAAAACCAGAGGAAGTGAGACTGGCTGATTGCAAAGGGCCTTTCCAGCTCTGCCCTTATCTGATGCTGTGTGACGGCACTGCCAGGAGGGTGCGGGCCTGGCGCTATTGCTGTGAGAGAAGCGTGGCTGGAGCCAAGTTGGTCATGGACTGGGGCAGGCAGCTCGGCTGGTTATTGCCAGCCCCTTGGGGACAGTCTGCAAGAGCTTGTGGCAGCTTTGACCTGGCACCCAACCTCCAATAACAGGAGGAAGGATTGCAAACACCTCCAACTCCAGCAAGGACTGGACACTTTGGCCACTTTGGGCTCTAGAATTGCCCGTTTTTCCTGGGAGA